ATGCATGTATCATACTTAATTGTTTAGTCTCGTTACTCGTTGTACATAGTATTCTTGCGTACCTAGTCTTAAGTATTTCGGTGACTCGCGCGAAACGTCGGCGGATCGCGATCAACGCGGAATCGATAATTGCGCGACTCACCAATCGGTGCTGCCCTCGCTCACCCCACGAGGGCACCCGCCTGAAGAACAAGTACTCGCTCGCGACACTGTTCCAGCGCCGCGAGCTCTCGGCACTCATCGTTACGACGTCTCATCGTTACGACGTCTCGGAGCACAGAGAGAATAACGGAGCACAGAGAGATTATCGGAGCAGGGAGACTTGCGCTAATATCCGGAGTCGCGAGATCATCCGCTCGCTCCCGGATAGTGCGATCGCCTACTTTCTCGGCCTGTTTGTGTGCTGCCTTTACCTGCTTCCTCCTGCTTGCTTGCTGCCTGCCTTAACTTACTGCTGCCTGCCTCGCTTTCGCATTGCTTGCTGCCCTGCTTGCGTTGCTGCACGAGCCCGATCGCGACCGAGACGAAGCCTCCAGGAGTCGACGGCACAACGAACGGTGAGTCGCATTTGCATAACTTAACTTTCGCTTTGGGGAGACTTTACACATCTCCCCTGGTCCTTCGAGCTTCGCTTTATCGCAAATCCGGGTACGGCTCTACCGCCCCCCGAGCATCTGGTCCTTCGAGCCGGATAATCATATCTTCGCGATTAGTCTATTACCGCCGACCTTTCGCGTGTCCTTTCATTGTTCTAAGTCACCGAATCTTTCTGTAACGCGTAGTGCAATAGCGCGTGACCTTGCGGGTCTCGCAGGATCTCCCGTATCGCAACGCTCGCTTCGCGAAGGGAATTCTCGCGTAGCATCGCGCAATCGGCCATTAGCCGCCTGTAATCTACGCGAATTCGCTGAATTCTTATTCTCGCATTAACGAGGTGCAATAACGCTCGGCGTGCTGACAACTCGTGTCTCGCGCGGTATCTCTCGTGCAACGCTCGCTTCGCAACGGGAATACGCGTGCGAACTTCGTTCGTCATAGCTCGGGCCGCAGCCGTTAATCGCCTTAAAATCGAATCCGCGCTCGCCGCGGTAATTAGTCGACATTTAATTAACTTGATCGTAACCGAAATATTCGGTCGAATATCCGAGTATTCCGGGCCAGCGATACTTTCGCGCATAGAGACAACGGCCGTGGCCTTCGATTACGGGCCGGTCTCGCGCGCGTTGTTTTTCTGTATAGTCTCGAGCATCGCTCGTGTTTACGTCGTTGCGAGGTACGTACAGCCCGACCCAGCACTTGTATTATCCCGACATTCGTGATCCGTCCGAGAGTACCATCGCTCGAAAATATTATTGTCACCGATCGAGAATATTTGCCTTTCGAACTCTGCGACGCGTGTTTATCGCGCTAATCCAACGGCTGATATTCTCCGCGTTCAACTCGAGGAATATTATCGAGAATATTCCCTCGGGACTTGCGCGAGCGCCGAACGGAGCCGTCCGTTACCCCTCACCTTGGCGACCTGACTTTCGTGATTGTTTTCGCCGGGTTTCGATATTGTTGGTTCGAGTTGCCGTCGCCTCCGACTGCCTATTCGTCGTTTACCCTTCGCTCTTAGCTTCGTCTGTCTGTGGTGGACGACCCCTTTGTTACATCATGTCGAAAAACGCATATGCTCGTCGCGAAGTATGCAATCGGCGTATGCAAGAAATACACGACCTCTCCCTACAAGCCGCGACCGACGCGGCAATACGAGCGACCTTCCTCGCTCGCTACTCGAGCGTAGCGAAGATCGCGGACGATTTTGAGGCCATCCACCTGAAGGTCATCCAAGAAGCGGCGGATTTCGAGGCCGAGGACGAAATCAGAGCCAGTTTCGATAAAATGCATTACGCCGTAAAGAGTCGATATCACCGTGAAACGGGCGCGCCATTCGGAGGCGCGCCGGCACAGCCCTCGGGTCCGGCCTCGGTGGTCAAGTTGCCTAAGATCCCGCTGCCGCAGTTTTCCGGCGACCTTACGTTGTGGCCTTCCTTCATCGCGTTGTTCAACGCGGCGATACATAACCAGCAGATTTCCGCGATAGAGAAATACCAGTATCTGCTGGCTTCACTCAAAGGGGAACCACTCAACGTGGTGAAAAACCTGCCGTTTTCCGATGAGTACTATCTGATCGCTTACGACTCGCTGGTCGATCGATACCGGAATAAGAGAAGGTTAGCGGACCATCACTTGAATTCGATAATCGAGGCAAAGCCATTGAAGGCGGAGACGGCCGAGGCTCTTCACCACTTATTAGATACGTTTACCGAGAACACGCGCGCGCTCGCATTGATGAAGTTCCCTACCGATTCATGGGACTTTATCCTACTGAAGTTTTTGTTAGACAAGCTTCCTCGTTCCCTTCGGGAAAAATTCGAGTCGGCTCACCGGGCTGAGGAGATACCGCGATATACACAACTCACGAAATTTCTAGCGGAGCATTGTCAGGTTCTCGAGGCCGTCGCGGGCCCGTCCTCCAAAACCAAGTCCACACCGGTCTCTTCGTTCGTGACTAACGCGGCCGGTTGCCCCGTTTGTAAGGAGTCTCACTACGTGTCGAAGTGCTCCCAGTTTTTAAAACTCTCGCCGAGGGAGAGGCAGGCTAAGGCTCGCGACTTGAGATTGTGCCTCAACTGCCTGCGCTCGGGGCATGGCATGAAAGACTGTCCGTCCGCGTGGGCATGTCGGTCCTGCGGCACAAGGCATCATACGCTTCTGCATTACGAGCAGAGCTCTAATACTACCCCTAAGCCCGAACCCATTAGCGCGACTCCTGCCGAACCGGACGCCGTACCCGCTCCTCAGTCGGAGGATGCGCCGATTGTAACAATGACTAGCCGGGCCAATAGAATCGTCCTCCTGTCCACCGTACGAGCCGAGGCGATAGACGCGCGTGGCAATGCGTTCCCCGTACGCATATTGCTGGACAGCGCGAGTCAGGCCAACTTTATTACCGAGGGCTGCCTCCGGAAGGGCGGCTTTCGTCGCACCAAACACAGTGCAACCGTGTTGGCGATAAACGAAGCCAGGGCGGCCACGACGAGGGGCCTCACCTCCCTCGTGATCCGTGCGCGCGGTCGCGACGACACTCGGTTCTCGATAGAGGCTACGGTCCTCTCGCGCATAACCTCGCCGCTGCCTAATGACAAGGTGGAGGTCCAGCCGTGGAAACACTTGAAGGGATTGCCGCTCGCGGATCCCGAATATTTCGTGCCCGGCGGTGTTGACATCCTCCTGGGGGCGGACTCGTTTGTGTCGGTGCTACGGGAGGGCCGTCGTAAAAGGGAAAGGGGAGAACCCGACGCCTTCAATTCAGTCTTCGGATGGGTTCTGACGGGCGCGGTATCCCCATCAGTGCAGGCAGCGCCCCTGAGGTCATTCGCGACTACGCTCGAGTCGATCGCGACATCGGTGGGTCGCTTTTGGCAATTGGAGGAGGTGCCGGAGGACGCTTCTTGTTCGGACGAGGATCGACGCTGCAAGGAAATCTTCGCCAAGACCACGTATCGTGACCCCTCGGGTCGTTTCGTGGTCTCGTACCCGTTCGTGTCGGATCCTCCTACATTCGTCGGCTCGCGCTCCATTGCGGTTAGTCGTCTCCGCGCACTAGAACGTCGATTTAAATCTGATCCGGAGTTCAGAGCTGGTTACAATAGTTTCATGCGGGACTATCTCGATAGCGGACACATGGAGGTAATTCGCAATCCATTCCCGTCGGATGGCCACATTTATTATCTACCGCACCACGGTGTGTATAAACTCGATAGCACTACCACTAAGTTGCGGGTAGTGTTCAACGCGTCCTCGCGAGGCCCGGACGGTCTGTCGATCAACGACACCCTGCTCAGCGGTCCGAAGCTGCAGCAGGACCTGCTCGCCATACTGCTTCGGTTCCGCGCCGAGGCGATCGCTCTAACCGCGGACGTGAAGCAGATGTTTCGCCAGATTTGGATAAGCCCGGAGCAATGCAACTACCAACGTATCGTCTGGCGCTTCTCGGAGTCGGACCCCATCCTCGACTATCTCCTCAAAACAGTTACATTCGGCTTTAGCGCCTCCCCGTTCTTGGCGATCTATTGTTTGCTCCAGTTAGCTCATCAATACCGCGAGAAATATCCTCTAGCGTTCGCAGCCCTACTCGAGGCGCTGTATGTGGATGACGTCGTGACAAGCGTTCGGACGGTGGAACAGGCTCGCGCACTCCGCGACCAATTGCTATCGCTTCTCCGAAGCGCCGGCTTCGAGCTTCGAAAGTGGTCGAGCAGCCATCCTGCCGCGCTGGAGGGCCTCGACCCGCAGTTATGTAGCCAATCAATGT